AGCCACAATCCCACCCCCCACCCCTATTTGTATTTTGAGAAAGGGTCTTGCTTAATTGCCTAGGCTAGGCTTTGAACTTCCAATCCTCCCTCCCTTAGCCTCCCATGGGATTACTGACATGCCACTGTGAACAGCTAATTTCTGTATTTTAGTAAGTGTCTATCATCAGGCATGATGGCACATGCCTTAATCCTAGCAACTCAGGAGGCTAAGGCAGGAGGATTACACTTTTGAGGCCAACCTCAGCAATTTAAGGAAGCCCTGTTACTTAGCAAGAATTTGTCTTAAAAAATAAAAAGGACTGGGAATGTAGTTCAGTTATAAAGTGTACCTGGGTTTTATCCCTAGTGCCCAATAAATAGAATAAGGCTCTGTCTATATATTGATTGACACACCATGAAATCATTTGAGAAATACCACCACCATTAAGATGGATAAGTTAGTTGTTTATCTAGAATCATTTGGAAATGGTTTTATCTCTGTTTATAGGCAGTGCCTTTGAATATACTATTAACTAGTGTCTAAATGAAAATTGTAACTACTAACTCATTTTAATTGGATAAGGGTTTTGAATTTTTTTCCAATTATAGTGATGATTTCACAGAGATTTTTAAATTGTTTTTTAATGCTCCCTTTTGCCCAAGAAAAGACATTTGTCAAACAGTTGGCCGGGGTTAGGGGGTGCATGCTATAATTAAGGAAGTTAGCAGAGATAAATGAACTACGTGGGACAAAAAGTATGACCTCACTGACAAAGAGTTCCAACAAACTGGCACAGAGATAATAAATACATACTTCTTGGAACTTGCTTTCTCTCTTTTCCACAAGTGTTTTCTCTTTAGTCACTGAAGTATGAAGACATTTCATTCTCTCTAAATTTCTAGAAGAACTCTTCGTGCCAGGGATAGCACATTCCATCCTCCATGTACCAATACGAGTAAATAGTGAAATGACCATCAGAGGCCTAAGTGTGTCTTGCCTCATATGAGGAATTTAGAAGCGTCTTTGGATAAAAGTCACCATACAGAGTATAATAGTAGTATTGTGCCACTGTGAACAGTATTATTACACCAAGATTATCAGGCACACATACTTTACTGAGAGCCCTTTGTATGTTAAATTTATGTGCTGAAAAGAGACATGGCATTTTAAATAATGTAAATTTATGGAAATCATAGATTTTTTTCTGCCGGAAAATGAATAAATCCTTTATATAATTCTTATGACAAAGGATAACGAACAATAAACCTTACAGAAGCAAAGTTCTAAAATACTCATTATAATTATTTTTTTAAACAACACCAAGTGGTTTTCAGAGCTGGTAAAATCTGTTTTTAAAAATAATTTGCCGGGTTGGGGGGTGCGGGGTTGTGGCTCAGTGGTTAGCATGCATGAGAGACTGGGTTTGATCCCCAGCACCACACACACAAAATAAAGGTATTGTGTCCATGTACAACTAAAAAAATATATTTAAAAAAATGAGTTTTGGGGGCTGGGGTTGTGGCTCAGTGGTAGAGCACTTGTTTAACATGTGTGAGGCACTAGGTTCGAGCCTCAGCATCACATAAAGATAAATAAATAAAATAAAGATATTGTGTCCATCTACAACTAAAAACATATATATTTTAAAAAATAACTTCAGCCTTCATCAAAAAGAAGGAAGACTGTAAGAACATGTATGTGGACTCTAAGAATGTGTATAGTTTGTTTTGTTTGTTTATAATTCTGGGAATTGAACCCAGGGACATTGTACCAACAGGCTACACCCAGCACTATTTTTTTTTTCTACAGACAAGATCTACTGCCAGCCATGGTGGCAAACACCTGTAATTCAAGCTACTTGGGAGGCTGAAATAGGAGGATCTCAAGTTTAAGGTCAGCTTTGAGAATTTAGTAAGACCCTGGCTCAAAATAAAAAATAAAAACGCTGTGGGTGTAACTTAATGGTAAAGCATGCCTGGGTTCCATCTCCAGTACCCCCATAAAAGTTTTAAAAATATTAGAACAATAAATATAATTAAATAATGCCAAGATGCTTTAAAACTGTTTATCTTTAATAATTTTTTTTTTCTTTTTATGGTACTGGAGATGGAACCCAGGGGTGCTTTACCATTGAGCTACACCCATACCCTATTTATTTATTTATTTAGAGAATCTCACTAAGTTGCTAAGGGTCTCTTACAGTGCTGAGACTGGCCTCTAACTTGTTTTTTTTTTTTTTAAGAGAGAGAGAGAGAATTTTTTAATATTTATTTTTCAGTCTTTCGGCAGACACAACATCTTTGTTTGTATGTGGTGCTGAGGATCAGGATCGAACCCAGGCCACACGCATGCCAGGTGAGCACGCTACCACTTGAGCCACATCCCCAGCCCTGGCCTCTAATTTGTGATCCTCCTGCCCCAGGCTCCCAAATTGCTGGGATTATAGGCATGTTTCACTATACCAGGCAAGTTATTTATTTAATTAATTAAAACAATATTTTATGGTACTGGGGATTTAACCTAGTGGCACTTTTCCACTGAACTACATCCCTAGTCCTTTTTATTTTTTATTTTGAGACAAGGTCTCACTAAATTGCTTAGGGCCTCACAAAATCGAGGAGGCCTGGCCTCAAATTTTCGATCCTTCTACCTCAACCTCTGAATTGCTGGGATTATTTAACCAGTCCAGTTATTTAATTTCAAATCATTTTAAACTCAAGTAAGAGAAGCAAATTAAATTTAGGAAGTATGTAAAAGATGAAAAATTTTAAAAAGTAAAATCAACATTCTAATTCAAGATGAGTCAAGATTCACTCCAGACAATGTCGTCATGTACATGGAGAATTCATTACTTGGAAGTGCTACACATACTTTAAAAATAAAATCCCAGATATATCTGTGACCCTCTTACACAAGCTTTAAAAATATTTGCCCATCCCTCTACATAGCTGAAATCATATGCCTGTTAACCTTTTCTGTAAAATAAATCAAAATATAAAAAGAAGACAGAAATATTAGGGAAATACAGCTATGGGATGAGAAGATCTGATATGCTTGATGGATTTATAACAAGTATGTAGATCAAATATACACCCAGTCTTTTATAAGCAATTTTGACTATGGGTTTTAACTTAGAAATAACTGTAGAAATATTCAAAGAATTTTAAAAATCCAGGCAGTTGAGTAACAGGGATTTTGTTTTATCAGTGATGCATCATTGATTTTGCTTTTCAGATTCCAAAGGATCAAACTAGATTTCATGGCCAATAGATACATTTCTAAGTGTTTAAGACAATGGATAACATGGTACTTATATTATTTAGGTGCTTAATTACAATGATTTTCAGCAGTTTGTTTCTAACAAAAATTCTCATGTGAATTATAAAAATTTCTTTAACCATAAAAGCAGCACATTTATACTGTGGTAATGAGAAGGTCAGATATGCTTGATGTATTTATAGCAAGTGTGTATATTATATATCAAATATACACCTAGTCTTTTTTTTAATATATTTTTTAAGTTGTAGTTGGACACAATACCTTTATTTTATTTTTTTATGTGGTGCTGAGGATGGAACCCAGAGCCTTGCACATGCTAGTCAAGCGCTCTACCGCTGAGCCACACCCCCAGCCCCTACCCCCAGTCTTTTATGGTTAACATTTCTAATTGAATTTCCATAAGGAAGCAAAGTTCTTTCAGTTTGTTGACTCATTATGTGGAAATTGTATTTGTCTGCCATCTGGCGGATTCATGAAAACATTGCAACTGGCAAAAGTAACAATAAAAAAATATCACAATACATGTGTTAATAGTGTTGTATTGTTTTTGGAGCCGAGTTGGCTCCCAAATACATTTATATATTTATGGAAAATCAGATAGTAAAAAAACTGTGGATTAAAGCTGAGGTTGTGGCTCAGTGGTACAGCACTTGCCTACACGTTAGGCACTGGGTTTGATCCTCAGCACCAAATTATAT